GACTTAAGCTTCATTTGAGGTAGTAGTTATGCTCACTAAAAACAGAGTGACTGCGACAATAGACTTCCTAAGTCGCAGAAGGGATTATGTGGGGACTGTGACGCTAAACTACTAAGTGAGAAGTGCATGAGTTATACATACAAATTAATGAGTAGCCTTGAGATCACCATAGACTAAAGTAAAGTACACTATCATGTTTCTATTTGATAAGAATTTGCATATAATACCAAAGAAGGGTATTTATATATCATGATTAACGGTGAATTGATAAAATATTTTAATGGATTGAAACAATGAGGCTAGTATAATTCAAGAAGATTGAACAATTGAGTTCACCTGTGTGCTTGCATCTTTGGTTATAAGTTAAGCCTTTGCTTGGGAACAAGCAAAGATCTGAGTGTGGGGATACTTGATAACCGTGAGTTATATACATAATTAACCCATTAAATTCTTTCAGGTCCATCCATTTATATATTATTTGAGTATTTTCCTGCACTAGTGACTTAATTCTCTCTATTAGGTATGCATAAAAAAAGCTTGAAAAATGGAAAAAAAAAATGACAAAAAGGGAAGATTGAAAGTAAATATGGCCCAGGAGAGCAACATAGTGACCAGAAACTGTGCAGTGTCTAGCACCAGACTTGGCGCCCAAGCTCCCAGCAGCAGGCATCCACCGAGAGTGAAGTGTCGCCCCAAAGTACCCATGCACCAACCAGCAAGAACCAATCATAGAGCCAGGCACCCAGATGTCATACAAAGTCACCAAAGCAACGGTCCCAAGCGTCCGCTTTAGAAGATCAAACTGAAACTTTGGCACCTATGCGACACGAAACCAACATAGCTGATTTTAAATTTCACTTGATTCTTTGCCTTTATTGGAGTAGTTGCAACTTTCTTATAGGAGACTCGGAAATGAACCGAGATATCAAGAAATCGCCCTATGTAGGGTTTAAAGAGATTTCTCCAATGATTCTCTAGGGAAACTTGAGAGGAAGTTGGAAAGAATCTTGAGCAACTTAGTTAAGGGAGCAGCAAGGAGGAATTGTCGAGAAGGTTTCGTGGCTATTTCAAAGTTTCTCTATTCCTCTTTTTATGCTTTTATTTTGTGGTAATCATGTTTAAGCTATTTTTACTTTTTATTTTCTTCTTAGATATAAGCAAAAACCCCTCTTTTAGATTTTGGATGGAGCATGTGTTGTGTTTTGCTAGTTAGTTTGAATGTTAAAGTTGTGTTGTGTTAAATTTATGCCTTCATACTATGTGTTTTACTATAATAGATAGTGAATTATTAATTATGTAGTTAGTTACCTATTAATATCACAGAAGATCTATCTGAAACTAAGAGGTGAAAGACAAACCCTATTAATATCACCGAAGATCTATCTGAAACTAAGAGGTGAAAGACAAACTCATTGTTGCTCATCGTTGGTATAAACACCACGGTGAATGTACCATAGGTTAGAGATAACTGTGACGAAACAATCTGATCCTTTTAAGATCCTAAGAGCTTTGACAGTTTTCCTTGCACTAAATCCAACACCGAGAAGTGAATAACATGTCCAAACGAAAGCAAAAACTCTAGATTTGTGAGAGAAAAATTGTGGCCATCGAGATCAACCATCATTCAATTTAAATCTCACACACTATTAATGTTGATGTTACCATTAAATTAACCAGCGTATGTGAAATCCAACTATTAAAGCTTTATTGTTGACCTTACCATTCATGAAATCATGGTTTTAATCTATTGATTGCTTTCGTTTTAATTGTAGCTTTAAATTTGGTTAATACAACGCCCCATTAAACCATCCACATAACAATTAATCGACCTAATTTTGATACTATCAAGCAATCGTCGTGGAACTATACTATTACTTTATTATTTGCACGACCACATGCTCTTATGTGTGTGATTTTTTGCATCAAAAGCACAATATGATTTGGCTATATAGTAGATAACTATTTAATTAATCTATTTAATTTAAAAAATTTTGAAATTGCTCAATATAATTTTAATTGTTCTTATAGAATATAAAAGCTTTAAAGTTATTTAATAAGGAAGTGAATATGATAACACATAAAACTGTGGATCAAGGATTGCTTTATATAACTTGGTTGATTAATAATATAGATTAACGATCCCTGGATAGAAAAAAATTCAAGAGAAAAGGGTTCTTTCAAGTCGCCAAAAACGATCCCTTATATACATTATTAAAAAATTTTAAACAATTAATAATATCTAAAACAAATGCAAAAATTATATATCCTCAAAATAAATTAAAATATATATAAAATAATATATAAGATCTTTCTACTTATGAAAAGTATGACTTTACTAAAATACAACATAAACTAATATAAAATTATAAAATATTTGTTTAAGGCTTCTTTAAGTTGTAAAAAGTATATTATATATGATATTAAAAATCAACAAAAATTCAAGATATCCAAAACAAATGCCAAACTTATATCTATTCAAAATAATCTGAAAAAAAAATTATAGAATAATATATAAGATTTCACTACCTATGAAGTATGACTTTATATAACTCTGACCTCTTGTATTCCAATGTAAACTTCACAAGTAATGATAAATTTATTTTGCAAGTGCTTCTCTGTATTATTTAGCAAATGCTGCCCCACAATGCTTCGGTTTTAGGGTTATTTGACCATTATCAGGAACTTACTAATTCAATCTCCTTAGAAGTGGAGGAGAGCTAGCTTATATCACAAATCTACCACTAAGAGTATTAAATAAATTAATGTAATCTTGTAAGTGCTCTATATTTTTTTCAGTAAAGATTAGGCGAAATTTATGCAGTTTAGCACATCATGTACATGACTTCAAAAAATGATTTTTAAAAGTTACATTTGGTTATACACCATTCTACAAAAATGATTTGTGTAAATTTACTTTACAATAATATGGATTTATATGTCCATAAGGAAAAAATTGAGTTGTGCATAAACTATGTAGCAAATGATACTCATTTAAAACTATTTATCTATCCATTTATTTCTATAAATGATGCATATTTACTGTATCTTTTTATTTAAGTTATTAAATGTTGTACAATCAATTTTATTATGATGTCGTTATTGTGATGGCAATCTACTGTATCAACCTAATGATATTGCGTTGCCGTTATTGTGAATGCACACTGATGTATCAAACATCACTACATCAACAAGAGGCATTCAAAAGTTCAAAGTTTATTTCAAGTCCATTCTCCACTTGAGGAATCGTGGCTTATTTTTAAAAAGTTGAACCTAGCAGTGCATAGACCAGTCTCAAATGGTGAATCCTTCAAGGACGTGAATTGTTGATTCAAGGCATCATAATCATTATATTATGCTAGATTTTAACTATCATGTATTTAAAGAACGAATTACTGTATTTTATGTTCTTACATATTTTCCTTAACGATCCTTGTGTCATTAAGCCATTTAGTCAGATAATGTATTTTGAGTTATATTTGGCCTTTTTTTATTTGAGGCATATGTGGTGTCTTATGTCATGAAATAGTAGTTATGTATGGACTTGAGTGATAAGTTGGTGTAACCATCTTTTGCTTAGCCCAAATTATCCTATTTTGACCTTATTAACGGCCATCATCAAGGTAGACCTCCGTATATAATTCTTTCAAAAAAAAATAAATAAAAGGTAGCTACACACCACCATTTTGGAGGTCATTTTTTACTGCCGCCTCATCATCTCCATCTCCATGGCCATCCCCCTCTCCCTTCTATCCTTGCTTTAAAATCAAGCCATTAAGATGCTTTGCAAATACCTCGAACTAATAAAATCATGCATTAGAAAAAACTTGAAACATTTACAAGCACATTTGCAATCTTCAAAAACCTTGCATACATTACTCTTCCCTTTCTCAATGCCATTAGCACCCCTTCCCCTCTCTCTGATTGGTTTTTGGGCTACCTCTTGCACTAACTAATAAATATCACGGTCATTTTTTGTATGTGATGGTTAAAGAATTGAATAAAATTGCATCTTGTCTTCTATTTTTCTTTATGTTTGCCGTCCCAACTAAAGAACACTACTTGAGAAAGAGAATTTTTAGCCTTTAAATAAGGATTCAAGGAAATCCATACAAGGACATATAATTTGTAAAAAATTAACTTCAACTTATTCTCATTCTATTACTGTTGGCGTAAATCCATCACAAGTTAAAATACCATGACGTTCATTTCTTCTTTGCTTTCATAAGGCAAGACATTTAGGATAGTTAAGACAATTACAACTTAAATCATCCCAAACTTATTATACTCTAATTATTGTAGAGTACTCCATAGTAGTTATGTGTTTATCATGATTACTGATTTGATTCTCAATTAAGGAATTACAGGTGCAAACTCAAAATTATTTAGTTTGAATTCTGCCCGTAGCAATTTACAATCATCATGAGCAAGTTTGCCAATTGCCTTAAACTAGTGATTTAGGGGAACCCGGTAAATATTACCAGTAGAAGAAGGAAGCTTCAAATCGTTAAATCAAGCATACACCAGAATAATAATGTAAAAATTAAGCATAATTTTAGAATAACCAAGGGAAATATAAGAAGATATAGACAAAGTCTATTAAAAAAAGGGGGGAGTGGCTAATGTATGCTATTGTGTATTCGCATAGATGATGAACAATTACCACCCGTCCACATGAACGGCTTCAAGCTTATATAAAAAGGTGATTTAGAAAATGGAAGCAAACGGCAATAAATTACAAAAATTTAGTTTGATATCATGCTCATAAAAATGCTAAATCAATATTGGAGTAAGAAGCCTAAGAGGAGTCATACAAAATAAAGCCATGAAAAAGTAAATGAGACTTTTAGGTTAGGAACGATCAGCATTCTCAATTCCTTCAAGGGAAGCGGCCTTTAATAGCTTACAACAGAAGCCATATCATAGTTAAGAACAGCCGTAATATTGATGAAAAGTTAGTTCTTCTCAAAGATCACAAAATGAAATGACAGAGAGCTACTAACCTAACAGAGCATTGATTGCTAGTACGGCCATCCAAATGAGAAGCTACAAGTTGCCAATTGTTATTACCAAAAGTTTCCACTGCGGTGCACAGTTTTGCATCTTCTTTGCTGGTCCATTCCCTATTTAAAATATGGGGATTAAGACTCCTCTGATATCGTGCCAAGCACTGAAAGGGGGTTCTGTTTGTTCCTAATGTCAACGCTATGCCAATCCAATCATAAAGCCCTCTATCTTGTACAATAAACAAGAGTTTCTTGTCCTCCATTGAGGTCCAAGGATTGCAATTGATAATTGGATCACCATGATTCAACCAGCTGACATATGGAAGAGTAATATAAAGTAAGATTTAGTTTCTAAAACAGAAAGTAATAATGTATTCATAACATGTTGATCTAAGAACAAATTCAAATGCATGGAAAAAATAAATTGGCTGGTATTGTCTAAGCACTGACTACAAAAACAATTGGCAAAAAATGATCTAAGAAGAAATTTGCCTAAGTTCATTGGAGTGAACGCTCCAGGTCAAAATAAAAAATAATATTTAGCCATAGTAAACATGAATTAAATTGTAATAAAGTTACGTCAAAAATAAAATTATGTAATTCAAGAGGCAATTAAAACCCATGTCAAGAATTTTTTCTTCTAAAGTTGAAGCAATTAAATAGCCCCAAACTAATTGAATTACCCCACAAAATAGTGCATGAAGAACAACTCAAATCAATACAAGCAAAAAGAGCAGTCAGTAAGCTTGTCTTAAATTCAATCTTTATGTGATGTTCAAGGAAGCAAGCACAACAAAAAAAATAGAATCAAAAAATAATTTATGGTAATCAAGCATTATCCTACACCGTAATATACATATAGTTTGTAAAATGGTATGGTCTCAGCTCTCAAGGGATAAAAGCACCCCAAGTTTAGTAAATTGTAAGAAAAAGCATGGAGAAAATAGTAAGCAAATAAAAGAAGGAAAGTAGAAAGTTCTTCCACTTAATCCAGCATTATCAGGAATTGCATACCCAGTATAAAGATTTAAATATATGATAAGAGGATGAAAGTAGAAGCGCAGAAGAAATCTAAACAATCACCTAAGAAAATGAAATAGCCATCCAAGCTTATGTAACAGCTAAAAGTTAAACTAAAGAAATATTTTTTTGAGGGTAGATAGTGATTAGTTTGGTGGAGCCCTAGCTTATTAGATTGGAAGAACCAATTAGTTTGTTGTTTCCACATGCACAACCAATCTGAAAAACAACACTACGAACCAAAACAAGTTCAGGAAAATAATGTAAACTAGATTTGAATGTCTTAAATACAAGATAAATAATCAATTGAGTAAATGATATTGTACCCTTTGGTTTTATGTAGCATTAAATAGAGGTAACCAGTGGAGGTTAAAAGTGAAATGTTGCTTCAAGAGTAACACATGACGAGATCATGGAGACACAAGTAAAATCTATAGAACTATTATTACATTTTCTGTGTTATGTGAACCGTATTGACTAATAAATGAGTCATTTGTAACTAAACTAAGTGTAAGGAAATGAGAATAAATCATGAATAAGCAACAAAATTATAAAGGATAAAGTGAGACATTATTATAATTAAAAGGATGTGGGAGTCACCTATTAAGCAAAAAATTATGAAAGAGATATATAATGGAGGACAAAAGATGTGCCAGAAGATAGAATTAAAAAGGAATAATTAGAAAGAAAATGGATATAACAAAAGCAAAAACCGATAGAATTGTGCAGAAAAATAGTTGCACAAAATACAATGAATGTCAAATAAAAATCATGAGAAATGATATATAAAGTTACCTAATTAGCTGGGATGCATGAGTACCTCATTCATTTTTGTTTCCACATTAGAAGTTCTAAACCTCAGGGAGTTAATGAAGAAAAAGGTAAGGTTTCTTTAACATTTCCTTTTGACCATATTAAACTAGTATCCTTAATCAATGATGCAACAATTAGCTGACGACGAAGACTACACTCGATAGCGATAAATATTTTAAATTGTTGGAATGCTTTGGTAATGTTCAGAAATGATGCACTGAATCTTAATAACAACTGTCTCGTGCATAACAGACAGCGATCCTTGCTCAGCCAAGATTTTTCTTTGTAAATGATCCATCCGTTGGTCAACATAGCGTGCAAAATTTTACATTCACATTTGTTCAAATACCCAATCGTGAAATAGATTATAAGGACAAAAGTAGCATTCACACAATTAAAAAAACCAGAGGTTATACTTATAAATTAAACATTCAAATAAATACTATATAAACAGAAACAAAAATTAGGAAACTAAAAGTTTCATTCCTATATTGGTTTCTTTTTCTTTATTTCATGCCTAAGCTTTACTGAACTTCTTTTTTTGCTCCTTGTTCTGATTATGTGACTGTGTTCCAAATATGAAGGTGGGGCGGAGGGTGCAGAAAAGTTCATGGAAAGAATGCACAAATGACCCAAATTAAAAACAATAGAGGGGCAAATATTTGATAACTAAATAAAAAAAAGATTACTGTGTGTGTGTTTGGTTGGGTGCTGATGCGCCTTTGGGGTCCTGGTAAAACAATGTTGTTAACTACAACTCTCATGTCTAAAAAAGAGGCATCACCATTATGGGCAAAATACTTCAAGGTTCTCAAAACAAATCATACCTCGATTCACAAGAAGGACCAGAGCGCTTAGGAAGATACATTGAAGCTAACCGATCCCAGTTAACCAAATGAATGAAAGATCTTAAAATTTCTGGTGTCAATTGATGATGGGCAATATCAAAAGTAGATGTTATAATGGAATCATTCAAACCATCAAAATCACTGCAAATAAGCATCAAAAAAATATGTTAGGATGAAAAGATTAGAAATGCAATTAATTGTCATTAATAATGGCATAAACATACCAAATAAATCTTAATATTGAAAGAATTTATAGAGTTTCACCGTTTATAAAGCCAAATCAGATTTAAATTTATAATATTAGCATCTTCATTCTTTAAAAAATCAAATCACCTTCCAAGGTTCATTGAGTTCAAAAATAGCACTTCTAGACATTGTTGCTTTACTCCGTTTAAAAGTCTGTCCTTCTCTGTGTTTGACCATTGTCTCTTCCTAAGTGAAACTGGGAATCTCCTCGTTACCATTTTATAATTGGACATTTGAAAATTTTCGGCTGGAGCAAAATACAAGGCAGAACTCTTTTTAGAATTTTCCTGCAATAAGGCAAAACAATTGGTCACATGATGCAGTCCCAGATTGAACATCAAATCATTTGAAAGGATCAATACTGCATGCAAAAGAATATTACAAGCAAAACAGCATAATTTGCAATCGAAGTCAAAATTAAAACATCCATATCAACCATCAATGATCAATTTTTGCTTATAAAATCAAAACTAATAGTATGGGGATTGCAAAGAAGTTTACAGTTTCTGATAGTTAACCCAACAAAATGAAGTTAGAAAGCTGTAGAAAAAAAATGGAGTTTGTCACTCATCAATAGATGTGAATTTCAAACCAACCGCTGGAACAAACAGAATAATAGTGTACAAAATAGATCGCACATCCAAAACACAAATCATATATTGGCAGGAGCTAAATGCATTGGTTATGCCATTGTATATCAAAGCTAAAACATTAAATATTCAACTCCATACCCGGACTTAGGAGCGGTTTACTTGGATGCATTAAGAGTGTAAAATAAACCAAATGCAAGAGTTAAAGATATCCAATTGGAACAATACAAATACAAAATAATTTTCTGAGGGATTTGGAATTATCCACTTAGTTCACTTTGATGTGTTCCGAATTTTACCAAATCAAACAAATTTGAAATATGCCACTTCACGAAACCATCCTATGTGACATCCTGCCTGCATGCTCTTTGTGATTCCCACTCGCCACACCCCTCACTCAATTGCTTCTAGCTCAATCATTGCTCCCCACTCAATCAAGATCTCACCAACCTCATAACACCATGCTACGTTCATCCTCTACAGCAACCTCAAGTGCTTGTCAACACTATGCAACCACCCCGTCAATCTCACAAAACCATCCCAATTGGCACCACCCTACTATTGTGCCCAAAGTTCATTTATTTTTCTTCATATATTTTTTTTTTACTTTCAGCCAAACACAAGTGATGTCCTGAATTTCAAATACATTGCATTTATTTCACACTGCATTAAAACACTCTTGAATTCTAAATACTAACGGCCCTAACTTCAAATTAAATACTCAAATCAACCAAAAATAAATATTTAGCTCCAAATAGAATATCCAGCACAATGAATTTACTTATTCCAATGTGATTATAATTTATGCAATTCCCTTTGTAGATTGAAGGGCTGGTCAATATCTTACAATTGAGGATGCATTTGAATAAATACCAACAAACACCTCAAAATTACAACCACTCCAAAGATTGTACATCAAAAATCATTAAATGGGATAAATAATACTAAAGATGAAACATGGTAATTGTCTCTATAGAGATAGTAAAATACGTACATACATTTCAAAAATGTAATGCATCAAACCAGCAATAGTGTACAAGTAGGAACACATATATGTGCAATGTGTTTGAGAAGCTTATTTAGGTGTCAAACTGTTGCTAAAGAGCTTGTAGATTTCCACAAAATGGGCCAAATTACTGCAAGTAATAGTCATGCAGTCATGCTTGAATCAACTTAAGATCGTACAGGGCTAGCCAATGTCATACAAATGAGGATGCATTTGAGCAAATAGAAACAAGTTCCTCAAAATAGAAATCACTCTAAGGAATGAACATAAAAAATCAATAACTGAGATAGAAATAATCCTTGGACTTGATCTGGTAATTGTTTTCATGGATATATTAAAATAGGTAAATAAATTTCAAAAACAAAATGCAACAAAGCATAAAAATTGTCCGTAGGTAGGACCGCATATATGTGCAATGTGTTTGTGAAGTTTATCTAGGTGTCAACATTGTTGTCATAGAGCATATAGATTTCCACAAAATGCAGCGATTACCGCAAGCATTAGTCATGTAATAAACTTAAAAACTTATTAGCATGAGGAAAGTTGCATCGTAAATGTTATGCATGCCTAGAATGGTGGTTCCATGTCTAGAGGTCAGACTTCAATAAAAAAAATCAAAATAATATGGCTCTAACTTGCATAACATGGGGATAAGGATTTCAACCTTAACTGTACTTGATGATTTCTGTTTTCGAGAAGAAATCAACCTGACACGAGGATCCCTTTTCTGACAGAAACTATATCCAGCTTTTCTTTTACATGCAGTATGAAAGTCCATAAGGCATTTCATGCGTTCTTTCAGCTTTTTATTTACTTCAATCTTTGCTTCAATTTCCATCAATTTCTCCCTGATAAATCGTTGGCATGACCTATTCTTCTTGAGTGCATAAACAAAATTCTGAACAGACTTCGGAAACCTAGAAGAGATGAACTGACGCACAGATAAATTGTAAAACATATCTTCTTGATTAAAGTTACTTTGATTCTCCTCTGGATGCTCTTTATCCATAGCACTTCCCCTCAAACATGTATCAAGAGGCTCTGGCCCATTATCAAGTGATTTGGGTTTATCAATAAAACTCTTTACAAACTTGGGTAACACAGATAAACTGCAGGCATTATCTCCAGATTTAATCAAATTGTGAGGATTTTGTTCAAATGTATCAGCTGAAAATATGCTGCTTGTTTCTGGAGAGAAATCCTTATTTGTTTCTTCAATCACATGCACATAACAAAGGACAAGTTAATTCTCTGATGCTCTTACTTTGGATATGCAGGCAAAAAGAGCACTCAAAATGTTTAAAAAAGAGGTAGTCATAAGTTAAGAAGTTCAAAGGAACAGTTGATTTTTATCCTTCTAAATCAACAAGTAATTATGTTGAAATTCAGAACCGATTAAATGATGCTCGCCAGGGGGAAATTTGCCCAAAGCCAATCGTTCTAGTTTCTCTAGTTGGCTCATTAATTCTAACATTTTTTAAATGTAGCCAGAAGCTTAAAAGGTTGTCATGCTATTTTTATTACTGGTGGATATGATTTGTTAAATTGTATTTCCAATTCACAATACTGTTGCATTTCCTTCGCTTTCTTTGATTACAGTTATTTTATTGGTTTGAAGGTAAAATATCAAACATGGAAGTATATAAGCAATTAAGTACATAAAAAAGGTTTAAAATTTACTGAATTTTGACTGTGTAGATATGAAATCGTGTTTTATGTTGATAAATGTGATTTACATGATACTTCCAATATTTACGCAGGCAAAAATGGTATAACTTTTTTTATGCTTGCATTTTTTTTTTATGGCATCATTAAGCTTTTTAGAGAAAATCAAAGAATGGAGTTTAGGGTTCATTTAATTGCTTATATAAACAAGGAATTTCAGCCAATTAGGAAAATTTCTAGATTCAAATGTTTGGCTAGATATAAAAAAATCAACATCACTTTTCAAACTCCACGAACTTTTCAAATGTAATGATATTTTCTAAGACACTGAATGAGTGAAAGCAAAATAATCATTTTGCAAATCCTTTAAATTAATCAGATAGAAGCTATGGCCCTTATTTCAGTTCATTTTGATGCATCTTTTAATGATTTAGCAACACCGACGCATGACTATCATAGAAAGTTCAATAAATTCCAGCCTTATTTCTTTACTCGAAGCATATTTGATTGCTTATTGACATAAAACATAATTGCAAATATAATATTTTTACTTTCAATAATTTTAAAACTAGAGAACGAATATCGAGTTTTGAAATCCATATTGATTTTCTAATCAGATCCAATTATTTCAATTAAATGATGAGGTTAACGCAGTACTTTTAAGATATGATTCTAAAGCAACCAAATAAGCACCCACTAACTGGAGAAATTATCAGGCAGGCACTATATGCGCATATGTGTGGGCGGCAAAATGCATGAAATACACAACTGAGCATTCAAGCTGTTTATTTCACACTATTGAACGTCCACATTTAATCCGCACATAGCAGCACAAACCTAAAAATTTATCCAATACCCAGCATAATTTTTCCGCCGTAGCCTCCGTTCCTACAACATTCTAACACAAGCCTAAAGACTATCTTTCAGCCTGAACAGCATCAAAGCTCTAGTAAACAGAATAAATGAACGGCATTGTTGCTCCATACCACCCCCATACTGCGCGAACCTCCGTTGGATGGCGCGGAGAGTCTCGAAATCGTCCTCATCGTCCGTGTCAAGAGGTAGGAAGGCTCGAATAGGCTTCAAGATAGGAGGGGTTCCGGGGGAGCCAGAAGCTTCAGCAGGCGGTAAGAACTGCTCTTGTAGCCGATGGAGGTAGGCGATGTCGTCGCTTGCACTGCTTTCACCGTCGGAACAACAATCAGAATCCTCGACGTGACCTGAGGGGTTGGGCATCATCCCGGCCGCAGACTGGTGAGAGGCGGCCGGGAGAGGGAGGCGGCGATGGCGACGAAGACGACGACATGGATGTATTAGGGTTCCCGGGAGAATTTCAGATGTTCGCGGAGATTCCGTTACCAGCTCTGCCGTGGAAGGCAAAGACGATGCACCCCTTCCAGCAAGAAAAGACAGAAGGGTTAGTGAGATCCATGAAACTGTACGTGGGGCGGCCAAATAGCTCCTCGTTTACGAATCATGAGCAATTCCAACGGAAGAAATATTACACGAGTACACGCACGTAAAAAATAAAGTGCTCGGCCAATCAAAACACGTCACGACATCTCGCACGTTAGAGCAAAAAAAATGGCTCAGTAATACGGGAAATATTCTCTCATGTGTTATTCATGTGTTATGAAATATTACATGAGTACTGGGCACGTAAAAATAACGTGATTAGTCAATTAAAACACGTCATGATATCTCGTATGGTAGAGCAAAAAAAATGGCGCAGTAATACGGGAAATATTCTCTTCTGTGTTATTACGCGTTATTCATGTGTTATTGTGTGTTATTCATGTGTTATTGATGTGTTATTGTGTTATTATAACACCAAGAATATTTTCATGATACAATAACACATGAATAACACATAATAACACTTGAATAACACGAGAAATATTCCCGACAGAGAAAAAACGACGCAGTAATACGGAGGAATATTTTCTCCCGTGTTATTCTTGTGTTATTGTGTGTTATTCATGTGTTATTGTGTTATTATAACATCAGGAATATTCTCAGGATACAATAACACATGAATAACACTCAATAACACTCGCGCGGGATATCGTGGCGTGATTTCATTGGGTACGCACGTTCCTCTACGTGCGTAGTACTGATGTAATATTTTTTCATTCCAACGAGCCCAACGTCAATAAAACTTGCAATTGCAAAAATAGCCCCAAAAACATTGTTATTTATAAATCTAACATTCTCTTTCATCAATTATTTAAATTCACTCAAATATCAAAAAGTCATGATAAAACTCAAACACTTATTTTTCATTTTTACGAAATTCTCAATGATTTGATCATGACATGCATAAATACATCAATTTATTAGCTCAAAAATATCACCCAAATGCTACATTTTGTAAATATGAATCTTTCAAGTGCTATGTATTTGTCCCATAACTTTTTAGCTTTGAAGGGAACGGGAACAAAGATTTATTTATTTATATTCGACTCATTTTGATTCGAAGTAATTAAATTGGTATATATAAATGATAAGTATTAATTTTAAATAATTAAAACCAATGTAATGTTTTAAAGAGCTATAATCAATTAAAATTATTTTATTCTATTTAAATGAATAACTTAATATAAATAAGGAGATTTAAATCTCGTCATTATCCTTAACATCCTTTAACTGTGTGACTTGTGCTGTCAAAACGGTTCGTTATTCCAGAATGACTCATGTTTAGCTCACTAATCAAACTAGTCGAACACGAACAATCTCTTTGCACTCGATATATAAACGAGTCAAGCAGGAACAATGATATTTTTTTAATGAGATGAATACGAGGCGAGTCTGGGCTGGCTCAAGCTTGACTCGCTTACACTCTTAACTGCAAAGCGACAATTGTCATGGAAAAATATAGTGCATTTAAACAGAATTTATCATCGAGTTTATTAAATCCAGTCAAACAGTAAAACAAAGAAATTTTTGAATTTGGTAACTACAAATTTGTCGCTTAAATTCTAGTTTATTAAATTAAAGGATCGAGTGAATTTATAAATTTATTAAATCCTATTAACGATAAATTCTACAAACAGCCAAACAATCATTTAAAACGTTATTTGAAAAAGGGTGTGTTTGTGCCAACGTTATGGTCCCATATTGCATCGTTGCAAGTAGGGGTGTAAATGAATCGAACACGAACGAGCAGAGCTTGTGTTTGTGTTCGGTTCGTTTGAAATTTTATTTGTTTGAAATAAGTTTGTGTTCGAAATTGTTCCTGAAGTCACTATTAATGTTTGTTTCTTAACGAACGAGCCGAACACGAGCTGTTCGCGAAGGACGAGGCAGTTGACATCCCTAATATTAATATATATAAATAATATATTATATTAATTATATAACTTATATTTTATAAATATATAATATCTATATTAGTACATTACTAATATAGTATATTAATATATTATTATTATTATTTTATTATAAAATTTAATTTTTTATAATATTCATTATTTTTTATATATATTTATTTTAAATTATTTTATATTTCGAACAATAATGATTCGAACACGAACGAACGCATCACTGTTCGTGTTTGGTTCGTTTAACTAACCGAACAAAAATTCTCGTTTATTTATCGAACGAATCGAACACAAATTCATTAACAAGTAAAACAAACACGAACTGCTCGCAAATTGCAAGTGTTTGTGACAACAGTTCTGTAAAAGCAATTGCTACAAATAGGCATTTCAAGAACTCATTTGTATGCTTGTGGTTCGCAATTTCAACGTCTTCTCCGTCGACTCTCCCAATGTTACCCTCCCTGCTTTTATAAACTCTCCGGAAGCTAGTTCAACTGCTCTTCTCTCATCTGTGTTTGTTTCTCTTTTGAGGCTATCAAAAGATAAACTTTGATTTTCCGATTTCTCTTCTTGTTCTAGTTCTCACTTGCTTTCGTGTTCAAACCCCTTTGCTATAATGCTTAGGGCTCAGCTCCTCCCTAACTTCCTCTTCTTCTGTTATGTAGTTTTATGGGGATTATATAGAGTAACTTATGTTCTTTCGTTTTATTTTGTGAAACTTTAGTTCTATGGCTTTATGTTGAGTCATTTGTGATCTTTGGGTTGTTTAGTACCTTATACTCTTAAGGTTTAGCATGAGAAGTTTATGTTCTCTATGCTTATGATGAGTAACTTTTGTGCTTTGGTTTAATGCTGAGAAGGTGGTGTTCTATGGGTATAAGCTGACCAATTATTATTTATTGGGTTGTTGAAAACCCTGTGTTCATCAAGTTTATACTGAGAAGGTTATGTTATATGTGTTTTTGTTGAGTACATTCCTTTTCTTGGGTTTATGATGACTACCTTCTATGATTTGGTGATAAAGAATTATAGTCAAACAGAATAGTGGCTCTAGATGTGTGGAATATGCAAACATGGATTTCTTTATAGGATTGCTATGAATGTTAAGAAGCTGTGATTCGATTTTTATTTTGATTGATCTTGTTTAACCATCAAATTATGCACATCAATGGAGATCAAGATTGCATGGAGATAAAACTTGCAAAATTGAATGCTTCTCTTTGAGATCCTACTAGAGATTTATTTTTGGAGAGATTTATATATGTAAGTGTATTCACATATCAAGTTACCAAACTCTAGCATTTCATAAGAAGCAGGAAAGAAATTACGGTCAAACAAAATAGTGGCTCTGGTTACCAATGAATTTTCTTTAGAGAATGAAGCAACACAGATTAATTTACACATAACATTAGAGTTTTGGTTGTATGTAAATATGACTTGAAACTTTATGACATCAAGTTTGTGATAGTGTACACTAGGTATTCACTGAAGGATGTCACCAAGGATGGATCAACCACCATGAATCACACATTTTCTTTTATGTTTGAAAAGTTTTAGTTGGGTTTGAAAAATGTATAGGTTGAGAGATCGAGAATGTTAAACTTTTATGCATTTTATTATTATTATTATTATTATTATTATTATTATTATTAGTTGGTTTGCTAACAATGTGATATGTAGCCATCTCCATAATGTGTCTATCAATTCGTTATATATGTTATCTTGAAGATTTGAAGTTGGAGTTGGAATTTATTTTTTTATTCGAGGAGTTATGACGAGTCATATGACCCTGGGGTTCTTCTATGTTGCTATGCTTTTCGATATATACGAGTTCAGCCTAAACTATTCTAAGATAGCTAGATCCCTTTTCTTATGGGTCTTTTGCCTTGTTTTGATTGTCTGATAATAGAATATTTATATATTTATATTTGCCCTGAGGTTTTATTTCCTAATTTTAAAATTTATCTGTTTTCATTTATATGGATGGAAGATATGCTTCGATTGCAAGTTTTTACTTCTTTTTTCTCACATTTTTGTTTAATATTTCTTCACAAGTGAGTTGCACTAGGAAAATCCATGCAATGCAGTTTATTTGCTACATGTGATAGAGAAGTTGTGCTTATTTTTTGTAATGTTTGTCTGAAAGTGGAAGAGCAAGGTACTAAACTAGAATGCATTTTAACAAAAAAGCCGACATAACATAATACAAAAGTTTTGTGAGAAAGCCGACGTAACATAATAAATCAGAAGCTTTTGAAGGAGCTAAAACGTGCTTTAATTGGAGTAGGTTGAGACCACACAAAAATCTTTGATTTTTCAGATGAATGATGGAAGGAAAAATTGGAGGTAAAGTTTTTATTTTTTATTTTTTATTCCTCTGTCTTATAACTTGCTTAGAATGTGCAAATCAATATGAATATTAATTTCACTTCAATGAAATAAAGGTTGTGTCAAAAGACTTTATCGCTTGGACTCGAGGGTAATGTTATAATAAAATTACTTGTTGTTATTGTAATTTTAGTTTGTGTTATTCTATCTTAAGTGATGTATTACCCTTATGTAATATAATAAAGAATCTTTGACCTTTTGTGCACTCGTAGTTCTATGTGAATTATTTTTAAAGTTGTTGACTTGCAACTAACAAATGTACATAAGGGCATTATAATTTTCTTTTGTCAAAACAGTTACAACACATGATCTCTATCAAAAAGACAGATTGGTTCACCTACAACTACGTTCTAACATTAATTGATCCTAAAAGCAGCTTCACAAAAAATTATTAAAACAACTACAACTGCCCTAAACACACCCTAATTCTGGATGCTACACATATCACACAAATTTTATATATCTACATATTTAGCATCAAAACTTTACTATTTACAAATAGAGCGCTCAAAT